TGAATGTGCAGGTGTTGGTAACTGGTAACTGATTCAGTCTAAATTTGGTGTGTGTAGCGTGTATGGGCTTAAACTGGTGATAGGTGTGCATGAACCTAGACTAGTTATTTTGAATGCGTGTGTATCTGAGTTGTGTGTGTGTGTGTGTGTGCGTGTGTGCGCGCGCGCACCTAATTGATTTGTGTGTTTGTATATGTGCAATTGTACACCATGCCCTCCTGTCTAACAGCACAATATTGAGATCCTGAGCGTTGGCCTGACCCCTCAGGGCAACACTCCCCTTCTGTGCGACCTTGGTCAGTCCCCAGTTGGAGTACTGCATCCAGTTCTGGGTGCCACACTTCAAGAGGGATGTGGACAACATCGAGAGGATCCAGAGGAGGACCACTTGCATGACCAGGGGGCAGTAGGGCAGGTCCTATGAGGATAGGCTGTGATATCTGAACCTGTTCAACCTCCACAAGAGGAAGCTGAGAGGGGATCTGGCGGCCATCTATAAACTGGCCAAGAGAGACCAGTAGGCAATGGGAGAGTCCCTGTTCCCCCGAGCACTACCAGGAGTAACAAGGAACAATGGCCATAAGCTGACAGAGAGCAGATTCAGGCTGGATATCAGGAGGCAGTACTTCACAGTCAGAGTGGCTAGGATCTGGAACCAACTTCCAAGGGAAGTGGTGCTGGCTCCTACCCTGGGGGTGTTTAAGAGGAGGCTAGATATACACCTTGCCGGGGTCGTCTGACCCCAGCATTCTTTCCAGCCTGTGGCAGGGGTCGGACTTGATGATCTGCTCAGGTCCCTTCTGACCCTACCAAGTATGAAACTATGAAGCTGGTGAGGCTTTTTCTGGAATAATGTGCACAATTATGGTCACCCATTTTTGAAAAAAGGTAAACTCAAACTGCAGCACATGCAGAGAACAGCAGAAAGGTAATTAGGTTAATAGAAGCCTTATCTTATGGGAAGAGACTAAAACAGCCCAGCAAGGCAAAACTGAGAGGAGATGCATTTGCACTCTATTAATAAATTGTAGAAGCCACTGGGGAATATGGATAGAGAAATACAATTTAAGCTCAGGGACAATTCTGACATAACAACAAATGGTAATACAGCATGAATAAATTCAGAGCAAGGAACTGTAAGGAGATCTCTGACTCTCCAAAGAGTGAGATTATGAAAGAGCATCCCAAGAGGCTCCCCCAGGCAAAGCAAAAAACCCAAGTGGTGACAAGATGGAGCCTGACATTATGAAAGGAATTATAGATGAATGCCTACAATAAGATAAATATTTAGAAAGTGTATCTATCCTCATATATAAAGCTATATTTAGGACATTTCATAATTGTTCATCTTGAACATTCTTCGCAATTAACTGGAACTAGTTACTGCTGGAGACAGTGGAAACAAAAGGATCACTGCTTAGATCCAATGTGGAGGGTCCTACATCATAAGCTTCCACATCCATCAATACTTTGTGCTTATTGGCAGCAATTTTACCTGTAAAAGTTGGCTTGGGAGAAATGAGGTCGGGTGGGCTTAGAAAAGCCCTTTGCTTCCACGTAAGATCCATTGTAGGGATATTCTTAGCCAATCTAGTGCTCAGACTTGCCCACATTACCCACTGGACATTAATACCACAGCAAGTGGATGCAATTTAAAATAGTTTAATTGTCTAGTGATAATCTGTACATTAGGCCATTGCAATACTGACCTGATAATGCTACTATTTTTGGCACCTAGATGAGCCCTTTAATGGGAACAACAACCAATTCATTTCTCAAAATATTTCCAGCACAGATCTCATTTTGAGGGAGTAAATCTCTCCCACACACTTTCCCCATGAAGTATTCAGCTTCAGTCTGCAGTTTGTTCCCTCAGTAGCTTTAGCTGAATCATAATTGTCTGCAAAGAGACAAAACCATGCACCCAGCAGCAGGTGCAAACCAAGCCTAAAGATTTCTGTTTGCTTCTTACAAGCCATAATTCTGGAGCAGCATTTCCAATCACATACCCAAAGAGTATCAGCAGGAGAGCAGTGGCTGCCAAGTTCTGTCGAAAAGTGAAGGCGGATAGCTGGAAGGCAGTAATAACACCAATGCACAGGATAACCGGAACCAAGTAAAACAGCTAGAAAAAAGAAAAATAGGGGTAGTGCAGGTGAGCATCTCCTATTGGTCTTAACCAATTAACACAGAAGTGCCTGTACAGTTGGTAGCAACGCTATGTTCCCCAGATAATTATATTGCCTATCAGAAATGTGCCAGCAGTAGAGATATAGGCTCAGTGGTGGTTCTCCCCTGGGGTAGCTGGGGCACTGCCCTACTCAAAAACCGTGAGGAAACAGAATCCAAGTACCACATATTACCTTTATCTTAATCCTATCTGCAATTCCCAAATGTCACTGTAACAGGCTAGCTGTTCCAGATAATAAACCCTTGTGGGACTCTTGATCCAATTCACCAAGCTATATCCTACTTGCGCCAGTATGGGGTGCACATGGAGCAGGACAGGGTTTCACTGAACACTCCTGGAGTCACAGCAGAACAGTGAGACAGCCTGAAAAATAACTCTAACAAATGGGAATGTGTTCAGTTAGAATGTTTCCCCTCACCTTTCAGTTGGAGCAAACTCTTGCATTTACACACAGCAGTAATGGTTTTACTAGACAACAAGGAACATAAACGTCCCCTGGACACACATCCCTTGGTGACCATTAACATGACAGCTAGCTTGAGGAATGGGTGAGGCACAGCAGCATAGGACTGAAAAACAGCACACCTGGGTCCTGCCCTGACAGTTTGGCCACTGATGTGATGTGTGACCTCAAGAAAGTCCCTTATCTTCCTTGCTTCCATTGCCACAATTCCATTGTCTTTTTTTCTTCAAGCCAATGGACCTTTTTTTAGTGCCAAAAAAAACCCACAATATGTCTACCTTGGAAGGTACCAGAGTGCTGGCATGCCAGAAAAACAAAATGAGAGCGGGGGGAGATGTACATGGCAGGACGCACTGCATATTAGTGTATTTACTAATCCTAAATGTTGCCTTTGTTGTTGTGTATTCCTTTTTGTTGAGCATGTTGCGATGAGAGAGAGAAAAAAGAGACAAATAAGAAAAAGAGGAGAGAGAAAGAGAAAGAGAAAGAACCAGACATGCACACAGAGAACCACATGCACGAACACAGAGAACCAGAACACACCCAGAACAGACACATGCATACACACATTCAGAACGAGACACGTGTGCACACACAGAACCAGACAGGCAAACACACAGAACCATATGCATAGGCACATGGAGCCAGGCTCCTGGGCTACTCGACAAAGTCCAACCCAACAATGCCCTGGTCGTGCCAGAGTCCCTGTGCTTCCCCGGGGATCCAGCCCCCAGGCTGCAGCATAGCTGGCCAAGGCCATGGCCCAGAGCCTGCCCATCAGCCCAGCCACCCACAGCTAAGCCTGCAAAAGGTGTGGTGCTCCTGGCAAGGGGCAGTGCCAGCCTCACCCCGGTGGAGGGCTGGGCTGGGCTCAGAGCAGGTGGGAGTCAGGCGGGCTCAGCTGTAAGCCCTGCTGTAAGCAACCTGGGCTCTGTGGTTGGCAGCAGCTGCCAGAGCCTGGGCTGGCTGCAGCTGGGGGGCTGCAAACAGCTGCTCGGGGCTCTGGCATCAGCTCCATACTGGTGGGTGCACACACACCTCGGAGTGGATGGTGGGGATAGGCCTGAGGCAGCACAGCTCTCTCACTGTCTGCTCTGAGGTGTATGTGCAATCGCCAGCAGCATGGAGCTGATGGCAGGGTTGTGGAGCCTGGTGCAGCTGTTTGCAGCTTACCCGCTGCAGCTGCCCAGAGCCCAGGCTGGCCTCAAACAGCTGCACTGGGCTCCAGAGCCCAATCATCAGCTCTGTGCCGGGAGTTGGGGAGACCAGGGTTGCGCTGCCTTAGGCCCCTCCCCCACTGCCCACTACGATGCACACACGCACCCACCAGTATGGAGCTAATGCCGAAGCCTGGAGTAGATGTTTGCAGCCTCCTGGCTGCAACAGGCCCAGGCTCTGGGAAGCTGCTGCCAACCACAGAGCCCGGTCTGCTTGCATCAGGACTTGCAGCTGCCCAGCTGCCTGCTGGGAGCAGCCCAGGCTTTGTGGCTGGCAGCAGCTGCCTAGAACCCAGACTGGCAGTGGTGTGCCAAGCAAATGGCATGCTTGGCACATGTGCTGGGGGTGGCTGACCCCTGTTCTAGGATTTCAGAGAAGTTCAATGAAGTTGAGGACCAAAGGATGAAATAGGGGTCCCTAACCCCTTGACTAGAGAGAGTATATTCCTACAGATAGCAGTCTGTGGGGTGCAGGCTGCACAGAGGCTGGTTGCAAGGTGGGAAGCCTGCTGACACTGAACTTCTGTGCCCTGTTAAACAAGGCCTGCAGACAGGTGATTAAGGCAGGGGTGGGCAATTATTTTGGCTGGAGGGCCACTTTAGCAAATTTGAGAGCTGTTGTAGACTGGGGGCAGGCGGCAATTGATCCTACCCAGTACAGGGTCAACCTCCCTGCACCCACTACCAGGGGCACCAGACAGAGAGTTGGACAGGGTCTCCATGAAGACCAGCCAGGACCTCTGAGGTCATGGCGCGCTAGCCCAAGCAGACAGGATGGGGATGCAAATGGGCAGAGAGAGGTGTCCTGGAGCAGGACAGGCAGGCAGGGGCCAGGGATGGAATCGTGGGGAAGTAACAGAGCAGGACCATGGCCTAAGGCAGAGCTGTGATCCACGATCCACTTCCTGCATGGTAGGGACATGCAAAGAGCAGGTTGCGATGCTGCTTCAGGCCCCAGCCCTGTGCTGTCACTACCCCATGACTCCAACCCCGGCCCCTGCCTACATGTCATGTTCCTGGACACTGCTTCCCACCCAGCCAAGCACACCCTACCCAGCCTCCATGGAGACTCTGCCTGCCCTCCCACCCATTCCATCCAGTGCCCCTGGTGATGTGTGCAGGGCAGATGAGCCAGGGTGCTTGGGCAGTAGAGCCAGGTCTTGCAGTAGTAGAGATGCTAGCGGTGCTGGGAAGTGAAGTCCATTTTCTGTGCCACCCCCACCCCACCATATGCCAGAGGGCAGCAGGACAGGCATATGTGCCAGGCTGCCCACCATGCTTGGGCTGGGAAGGGCCAAGGGACCCACCGTAGGCTGTATAGAATCCCTTGGTAGGCCAGATCCAGCCTGAGGGCCATATTTTGCCCACCCTTGCTATAAGGGAATAGAAACTAGGGTTTTATAAGCCTAGCTTCTGGTTGGAAGCCTCCAACTGGCTCATGCTAAACTCAGGGAAAGATCTCCACAGGACTAGAGAGAAACCAGAAGGAAGATAATTTGCTTAAATAAGATCACAGAATTCAGTTATCCAGATACAATGGCTGACCATACTTAGGGACCACTGAGCAAGTAAGAGCAGACTGGATGCGCTGCTATTTGGATATGAGCTAAGAAGGTGAATTCCATTCCTCTACCCACACCAGTGTTTTTAAATAAAAAACAATTTCTCAGGTTTTCCAAAGGGAGACATGCATTTTCAACCACAATGATCATCTAACAGGATGTGATGGATTAAATCCTGCCTTTCAGAAGTTACTTCCTACTGGACAATTACATCTTTTCAATTGTAAGGAACAGAATAGGAACAGTTAGAAAGCAGGTGTTAATTACCTTGATAATTTCAAAGGAAAGAAAAATTTTCATGTGTTTCTGTATACTAACTGAATGAGAAGATTAGATCTAGGAGAGTGAATTTGTGCTGATGACAATCTAAGCCACCTGCAGAAGCATTAAAATCCCTGGTGGTACTCATTCTCTGTTTGCAAGACAGACAACTTGCTTATAAGGCTATTTGTGGTGTAAAGACCCTGAACTGCATGTGAATCCAAACATGCTGCTATTTACTCTAGAGACCGTCAGAAATAGATAGTGCAGCTCACAAGTCAACAAAAAACACAATCCTTCCCATACAGAGGATAATCACAGTGTTAAGGTGGGAATGTTATAGTGGATAACTCAGGGAAACTCAGTTACAGAACAAATGCCTTATTATTAGCATGTATCAGTGCTAATGGATGTTGCCCTAAACAATTTAGCTGACAAAATTTCCCTTTGTTTAGAGATATATTTTATTGTGGACATGACTTCTTTAGAATAGTACACAATCAGGGTTCGAAGGGAGCTCAGGAAGTCATCTAGTCCAGCCTCCTGCTCAAAGCTGGGCCAGCCCCAACTAGATCATCCCAGCCAAAGCTTTGTCTAGCCGCGTTTTCAAAACCTCCAAGGACAGAACTTCCACCATGTCTCTGGGTACCCTGTGGCAGTGTTTTATTACCCTTCTAGAGAGAAAATTCTTCCTAGTACCTAACTTAAACTTCCCTTGCTGCAACTTGAGACTATTGCTCCTTGTTCTGTCATCTGCCACCACTGAGAACAGTCTAGCTCCATCCTCTTTTGAACCCTACTTCAGGTAGCTGAAGGATGCTATTAAGTCCCCTCTTAGTCTCCTCTTCTCTAGACTAAAAAAGCCCAATTCCCTCAGCCTCTTCTCGTAAGTCACATTCCACAACTCCTTCGCCATTTTTGTTGCCGTCCACTGGACTCTCTCCAATTCATCCACATCCTTTCTGTAGTAGGAGGCCCAAACCTGAACATAGTATCCAGATGTGGCCTCACCAGTGCTGAATAGAAGGGAATAATCACTTCCCTTGACCTACTGGCAACACACCTACCAATGCAGCCCAGTATGTTATTAGCCTTCTTGGCAACAAGGGCACACTGCTGGCTCATGTTCACCTTATTGTCCACTGTAAACACCAGGTCCTTTTCTACAGAGCTGCTGCCCAGCCAGGCAGCACCTAGCCTGTACTGGTGCATGGGATTGTTCCATCCTAAGTGAAGGACTTTGCACTTGTCCTTGTTGAACCTCATGAGATTCCTTTTGGCCCAGTCCTTCAATTTGTCTAGGTCACTGAATCCTATCCCTACCCTCCAGCATATCTACTACTTCCCCTACCTTGGTGTCATCTGCAAACTTGCTGCGGGTGCACTCTATGCCATCTTCCAAGTTGTTGCTGAAGACACTGAACAAAACTGGCCCCAGGACTGACCCCTGGGGCACTCCACTTGATACTGGCTGCCAACCTCACATTGAGCCATTGATTACTACTCTCTGAGCCTGATGCCCCAGCCAGTTTTCTATCCACCTTACAGTCCATTCATCCAGCCCATACTTCCTTAGCTTGCCTGAGAGAATGTTGTGGAAGACCATATTAAAACCCTTGCTAGGATCAAGATGCACCACATCCACCAGTCTCCCCACATTCATAGAGCCAGTCACTTCATCATAGAAGGGAATCAGGTTGGTCAGGCATGACTTGCCCCTGGTGAATCCATGCTGACTGTTCCTAATTACCTTATCTCTTCCAAGTGCTCAGAAATGGATTCCTTGAGGACCTGCCACATGATTTTTCCAGGGACTAAGGTGAGACTGACTGGTCTGTAGTTCCCTAGATCCTCCTTCTTCCCTTTCTTAAATATGGGCACTACATTTACCCTTTTCCATTCATCTGGGACCTCTCCTGATCACCATGAGTTTTCAAAGATGATGGCCAATGGCTCTGCAATCACATCAGTCAACTCCCTCAGCACCCTCAGGTGCATCTCATCTGGCCCCATGGACTTATACACATCCAGCTTTTCCAAGTAGTCCCTAACCTGTTCTTTTAGTTTGAGTTCACTAAAGCACCCCATTCAGAATGACACGTACAGCTTTAAAAAGATGCATGTTGCTATCCATAGAACCTACCATATCATAAAGGAAGTTACCAAGCCAGTAAGTCTTGTAGCCAAGCCCAGTGAGGTGCTGCAGCCGCTTTGCACCAGACTCACGGTCTTTTACAATGGAGCTTCCAATGGATGCCGTAAGGAGAGAAAATCCCAACATGATGCACAGTGCTACTCCACATTGACGAATATTCTCCATTCTGGGGTTCAAAAGAAAAAGGTATCATGACAATACAGCTCACCACAAATTTTCCAAGTCAAACTCCTTATCAAACCAATTGCAAAAAAAACTTGATAAATGTATTTACATTATTAGATATAGATATAAAGATATAAGAAAACATCTCCATGTATTTTAACCTCAATCCTACCTAGAGTCTTGCTACATGTTCATTTTAGGCAGCTTCTGGAGCTCTTAACCCCTGGACTGTCCACACATTAATACTTGAAACTAGTTTTAATCACACTTTAGGCAACAAAGTTATGCTACTCAAAGACAGGTTTATCTCTGATCCATGTTAACCAACTCGTGTTCTATTAATGCAGGGGTGGGCAAAATGCAGCCCGCTAGGCCATTCTATCTGGCCCGCAGGGTCCCCCAAAAATTTAGAAAATTAATATTTATCTGCCCCTGGCTGCCTGTCATGCGACCCTTGATGGCTTGCCAAAACTCAGTAAGCAGCCCTCTGCCCAAAATAATTGCCCACCCCTGCATTAATAGGTGACTCATCTGTGGGGAGTAGCCACACAAGTTGCAGTCCTCCAGCATCCCAAGATACAGTGTCCCCTCTCCCACACTCCTGTTCTGGAAAAACTTTCCACCCCCTGAACTCTACTGCCCAGAGGGAGGTTCTGACACCAAGCCAACTCCCCCTCCCACCCCCTGGGGTGTCACCTTCCCACCCCCAGGGGTGCAACCCTATGCCAACAGCCTGCAGAGCACATGCCAGCTATCTAGGTTGCATGGCACAAACAGATCCAGGAGTGAGGTTTAGGGGAGCATGGGAGACAAACAAGGTGAGTGCCCAGCTTGGGTTTCCATGAGCAGGGGATTCTTTCCAAGCAGCAGTAGCTCCCCAAAAGCACCATCCTTCACCACTTCCACTTCCCAGCCATCCCAGGAAGCGTGACCAGCCCCCCCTACACCCACTGCTGCTGCTATCTCCAGCTGCTCTGGGGACAGGGGCTGGGAAGGTGCTCCCAGACCACTCTTGCCTGCTCTAGCTGAGTGATACATGGAGCCAGGCTTAGCCAGGGACAACAGCAGCATCAGGCAGGTCCCTCTTCACTGCCCTGCCCCCCCCCCTCCATGTTCCCTGCC